GTTTATTGAACTACAATACCAATAAGTGATTAATAAAAGTCAAAAGACCAAAGAGGTCACCTTAATACCAAAAAAAATATATATATATAAAATATCTTTAAGCTTTACAATAGTATATTTTTTAATTTTCTCTGTTTTACATAATGATAACTGATAAATTTTATAAACTAATTTATTTTTAGCAGCCTAGTTGGTGGTATCTTCAAAACTCCCAATCCAGAAGTTCTTGCCTGTCCAGCTACTAGGACCAGGTACTAGACCTGGGTATCCATTACTTTGGGCAGATAATGTCTGGATTAGCAAGGCTACTTGAATTATTTGAATAGCATGATAAGCAATTCATGTTTATCTAATAGCTTAGATAATCTTAAATACTTTAGTCATAATTGAAGGTGAAGCATCAGGTTATGTTTGAATTAGTAAGCTTTTGCCAAGTTGCTTTATTTATTGTGCTTTTAAATTGCTATGGTTAGCATATTGTATTTGGGAATCAGGAATTTTGAGTATAATAATAGTGATACAAATCAAAAATCGATTAGTTGACTTAGTTGACAACTAATTGATTAAAAAATTTTTGGCAACTTATATTAAAATCGAATAAAAATTAAATAATTATTTAGTTGACAACTAATCAATTGCAAAATTTTTAACAATTTGTATTACTAGTACAATATTAAAATACAAATCAATAAGTAACTGAGTAAAATATCCTGGTTTAATTAATATATACTATATCAAGACTTATATGTATATATTTACATATATTTGTTTGATATATATTTTTTAAACCAAATCTTTTCTAATGGCAAAAAATTATTATCTCAGTAAATGTTTTGAATGCACTAAGTATTTTTTTGTACAATTTCTAAAACTCATTATAACTGTAAAAAAAATATATATCTAACAAAAAAAATAAAAATAAAAAAATAAAAAATATTTAAACTACAATAATAATTGAATATAAAAATTTAATTCACTAATTAATAATTTTATTCAACTAATCAACTAATTAATTAGTCAATTAATTGATTAATCAATTGTTGATTAATCAATTGGTCAACTAATCGATTAGTTAAAATAAAATTGATTAATCGATTAGTTGAATAAAATAGGTTGTCAACTAATTGATTAGAAAATTTTTGATAATTTGTAACACTAGGATTTATCTAACATTTTTAACCCTTCTATTGGGTTGTCAATGCATTTGTAGCTATAGCTTAAGGATCCTCTCTTCATAAGATAAAGGTTGAAGTTTGCTTGTTTCATTGATTTGCAAATAGATTGAAGTTCATCTGACTCTATATATTTTGAATTGTATTGAATATTTTTCTGTTAATTGACCAGATGTGTCTGTCTATTGATATTCAGGATGCTAGATCTGCTAATGTGTTTAATTGATCCAGAATATGTTCTGCTATTAATTTTAGTCCTCAATTTAGACATATTTCCTAAATGCTTTTTGCTAATTAACTTATTGTCATAAAGGTAGTGCCACCCTGTTTGTTGAAATAAGCTACTATTGTTAAACTGTCACTTTTTATTAACATTGTTTGATTCAATAGATGCTTCCAAGTAAGTATAGCTCTTTTTACTATCATTAATTCAAGATGGTTTATATGTTTTGTTTGCTGTTCTTTGTTCTAAATTCTATAAGCCATCTGACATCTAATACAGCACCCCAACCTGTTTTGAAAGCATCTGTATAAATGGTTGTTGTTGTGCTATTGAGATAATCTCTTTTTTATTCCATTTCTTGAGATTGATTATCTAGGTTTTTAGCTGTAGTTTGGCCTTTTGTAACAGGCTTATTAATGCATTCCAACCTCTGTATCTTATAGTTGCATTCTTTTCTTGAAGGAGTGTTCTTAAGAACAACTTCACAGAGTATACTGCATTGGTTGTAGCATTCAGTTTGCCCAATAATGCTGCTATTTTTTGAACCTATACCTTCTTCATTTTGAGTTTATGCTGGCATTCTCTTATAATGTTTTTTAGTTTCCTCTGTGAAATAGCAAGAGTCATACTTGTTGAATTTATTTTGAACCCAAGAAACTTGATCTTTTTTGTTGGTTTTAATAATGATTTCTCTCTGTTTACTATAAATCCTAGGTGTTTTAATAGTCCACAAACCTTTCTGGTATGTTCATATAACTTTTGTTTTAATCATGTTATTATCAGTAAATCGTTTATATAGACTATCACTTTTATTCTCTGTGCTCGAATTAAGGCTATTACTGGTTTTAGTATCTTCATGAAGATTTTTGAACTTGAGGTTAACCCAAATGATAAAATCCTAAATGCATAATGTGTACCAAAGAGGTCAAATGCACAAAACTTTTTGAATCTTTCTGCCAAAGAAATGTGATAGAAGGCATTTTTTATATTTGTTTTTGTAAAAAACTCTTTCTTTTTTAACAATGTTTTTATTAATTTTATGTTTTCTATCCTGACATGTTTGTGATATATAAAGTTGTTTAGATTTCTCAAATCTATAATAAGACATGACTTCTTTAATGATTTTGGAATTAGGAACAATTTTGAAGTAAAACAAGAGTGCTTGCAGATGAATTTCTATTATCTTTTGATGAACTAAATTGTCTATTTTTTTTACTAATGTTTTCTTTATAGAAGTTGCATATTTGCTTAATAATACTAGTTGAATTTTTAGTAGTGGTATCTTTATAAATATAGAATAATATTCTTCTTTTATAACTTGTATAACTCATAATTCTCTAGCTATTTCTAACCACCTTATTTGGAAAGATCTTAATTTTGTATCTACTACTATTACTGATTGGTTAAATAAAATTGTTGCTAGGAATTGCTTTGGCAAAAATTTTGATTGTTGAACCACATACTTGAAGAGAGATGTCAGTATGTGTTTCCTCTACTCTGTATGTTTTGATAGTATATATTATTCTTGTATCCTTTACTATTGCTGAGTTTTTAAGAACGTTGTTTCTGCCATATAGTATTATTGGAAAATTTATTCTTTTCATTCTTCTTAGTGATGATCATTTCCAACTTTTCTTTAAACAAGGGTTCTACCTCTGATCTTGGTTGGTAATTGAGATAATTGCTTTAATAGTGATATCTTGTTTGTGTTTGTCTGTATAAGATAATGCATTCAATAACAATGTTCTTGTAGATAATAATGCCTTTTCCATAAAGCTTCATACTTCACTAGCCTCTTTCTTGTCTAATGGTAGCCTTGTTTTATAAACCATTTTAATTGTATTATCAAGTGATCTAAGTACAGCTGATGTTCGATATGAAATTTTATAAAGTACTTTGTCAAAGTTCTTATAATCTTTTTGCATATGTTTAGACATTTCTTTGTCCATAGGTAGTAGTACAAACTTAATGAACTTGTTATAAGGAAATACTTGCATAAGCTTTTGTCTTTCTTCTGTTTGTAAGATATTATTTTTATAGATTTTTGTAAATAGTGTTTGCATTTCAGATATGGGTATGAACATTGCAATGCATTGTTCATCTGTAAGGTAGGGTTTATCATCTGACAACTGAACATTGTCCTGTTTATTAGTAACACCCTCATTGTGTTCATTAGCATTGTTCTCATTATTAATAGTGTTAATAGCATTATTGTTAATGTTACTATTATTATTATGTACTAGGACTTTGTTCTGGCTGTCTGCTTCTAGGTTATTCATAAAAACTTGGTGAGACACTTCTAAGTTGCGGACTGCAATCCAAAGAAAAACAGCCTAATGTAACTAGAGAGAGGGGAAGGATATTTATAGTTAGACATATAATTTTAGTGTAATGATTGTATAGTGCTCCACATGATTTGGACTGCAACCAATAAAATTCAGGCCAAAGTCACATGATCTTTGATTTACTTACCGACTGAAGTTCATTTATACATGATCAGAGTTTAAATAAATCTTTTCATTATCAGAAATGATCGTCGGCCCGTGACTTTTGTCATGGGAGTGTACAAACGAGAACTGATCTAGCATCCCATTAATATATAGTGAAGCATTTGATAGACACTATAGGTAATCGACTCGCATTAGCTAATAAAGCAAAAATTTACATGACATCATATAATAAATTGTCTTTAATGATCAGTGATTATCATACGAAAAAAAAATAAAAGTGCCAAATATCAGGTAAATACGCAAATTAATTTGCACTGGGTTACCAATTTTTGCATCTAAAATTCATTTTTTACTATCGTTAGTTATCACAACTACGACATCACTTATGTTTTCATTTTTTTGTATTCAAGTTATATTATGTGATTACATGATCTATATGCGTAATGAATTCATGTGTGAAAAATAACCAAATTTGATGAATAAGTCACGCAGACCAATCAAACTTAAGATTTTGTGAACGGATACCACTTATTAGCCCATACACTTCATGATTTCATCACTCTGTTCCTGGTAAACATCATTACTTAAAATGTCTTAAGAACAAGCCACAGAGTTAAAGACTTTATATTTTTCACAATCAATTTATTAGGATTTTCATGTAATCAACTTGGCTCAAAAGGATTGGCTTTGCTGCTGAAGTACTTTGTAAGAGAACTTTGTCCACTTTATATATTGATGATCTGCTTGCACTTTGCAGATCAAGAACATCATAAAAAAAAATACCGCATTAACGACTCTGAAACTTTATCGTGTTGAGATCAACATTAGGATGGAATTATATTAGCTGAAGCCGTTCTTCAGAACAAAACTTCACAACAATAATAGTACTGAAGCGGTAAAAGTGCTAGCAGACACACTTTCTTTGATCACAGTAATAATAATATTAATACTGAAGGAATAATCGTATTAAAATTCCCTTTATAATAACAAGACTTTAAATATTAATTAAATTCTAAAGGTAGAATTCATTAGTGCTTAATAGTACAATTTAATTAATTAATTGTTTATCATTATAAAAATGATTAATAAATAATTACACAGCATTACAGGTTTTAAATTTTATATTTAAAATTTATTTTAAATTATGCTATTGCGAGCATCGCTAAAAGAAGCCGTGAAGTCTTAATATAATTTATATTTATCTTAGATTTCTAGAAAATATTTATATAAAAAATAACGGGAATAATAAAAATTTCATAAGTAAATGATTATACTATGAGTTAAGTAATATACATTCTATATAGAAATTGATTCTACTTAAAACTAGTTAGTGCTTCGAAACCCGAATAAACATTGTTCCAAAACACGTACAAAGATTGGGGTCCAAACTCTGGTTTAAAATAGACTATAACATGAATGTTAATTATGCTTGCCTAAACATGTTAGTTTAAACAAGTTACATATTTATTAGGATATATACATAAATTGAATTCGCATAACGATAACGATAACGATAATTTATTTAATTTAAGAACGTCATATTATTTAATTAAAAGCCAAAAGTTACAAATCATGAAACTTTTTGCTCGTAAGGTCGATTTTAAACTCGATTTGAGCACACAGAGTTTCATTTCACATAATTAAATTCACGGAATTAAAAACTCGTATCCAACTAGTCATATACTTCTTAAATGAAATCTAAGAGTTTCGTCGATTAACTTCTGATTTTAATTTTTCGCCGAAAGAAATTTTAAAAAAGGTAAATGGCAAAACAGTATCATTGATAAGAAGTGATGAAGCTGATGAAAAAGGCAGGTGATGCTTACTTATCACATATATTTAAAACATTACATAGCAATTAGTTCCACGAAGAAGTAATTTAAACGCATATGGTTTTATTTTTTTATTGAATATACTCGACCTACGCTGCTAATAACTGTTAAAAACAATTCCTACATATTGGCAGATCTACTTAATGAAAAAAAACATGAAATAAATAAATCAATTAAGCTATACTTTCATAATCCAAGCCGGATATACCACTGAATTATTCCAAGTCCAACTACGATCACCAACGACGGACAACAACGACGAAACGTGCACCACCGGCGCAAAAAAATAATACACCGAATTGGACAACACAACTGAATAACAATAATCTGAATTCCGTTGTCCGAAGAAAAAAATTACTATAATAGTATCAAAAATATATACGTATACAAATAAATAAATAAAGTAACTATTGTAGCTTGCATAATTTGTATAACCAGCAGGCGATCAAAAATAAAAAATAAGAAATTACTCACCTTATTTTGCCTAATTAAATTTGGTTCTTATAAATAGGTACTAGGTTATTCTGCTTTTATAATAATTTAGAAATCAGATTTATTTATTTTATTATTCTTAATCGAAATTTTAATTTGTCAAAATTACTAGGAAACCGCTAACAAAAAAATTTCAGATCATGATATTTAATAATTACGATATATCAATTATTATCGTTATACAATGCTTAATAAAATTTGTAAAAGCGAAAGTATAATTTTTTGAATAAATTCCCAGGATCTCCGCAACATTACTGTCTGGTATGTAATTTTTACGCATACGTGATGATCGACAAAGATAACGTTACGCGATCAGAAAAATTCAAAACAAGCCTTCGTTTTGACAAAAATCGCTTATAGCTCAAAATCTGTATAGGAAACCACCTTTCACGCCTCAACAAAAAGTTTCCATGCCCGATTTTACTATTATAACCGCCTTAATATAGGCTTTAAACGAACTTAAAAAATTTTGTCGATATCACGTGAGCGTAGAATATTGTTGGGAAGATTCTTTTTTAGCCTAGATATCGAAAAGAAAAATATATCGTGTTAGTGGCTTAATAATGTTAAAAAAAATTTTTTTTTTGTTTTTTTAAAAAGAAGAATCCCTATATTTCAGCCGCCACGCACCCCCAGGTGTCCTACCCCGGCGAGGATTTAGGAATGCGTGAACGACCGGTCTCGTACTCCAGATCTACTGATAAGTAAACCCGTGCCTAAACCGTTAATCCATATTGGGATACAATTAAAAAATTTTTTCATTAACTCCTTAAAATCAGCATTTGTGTTACCAACCTGTCCAATTAAATTTCGTCGATGTTTTTGACATATGTAGATCAAATTTGGTACGTATACTTGCTGAACAAATCCCAAACCTCCAAAATACAAATTTCTTTTATAAAAAATATAAATTAACAAAATAATTTGATATTTTGTAAATATATAGTATATAGCTATAAGAATATATGGAGTGTCTTGTATGAAAGGGTCTATTTTTACATTTGTCTCATTTTGAGATATTTTTCAAGCGACAATCCGTCGCATTTGCCCCATCTCTGAACTCGACCATAAAACCCGTAACAATAGGTTTTTAGGCTCAATCATTGAAATTCAAACCAATATTCAGATTGCAAGTATTATCAACTTCTTTTATAAAGAGTCATTTTCTTATACCAGGAATAGATTGCAATGAAGAATATGGTTTCCTGTGACT